ACAGCCGAATGCGGATGATGTCAGTTGCCGTACCCTCGCGCCCACTTGCCTGAAAACACGTTTTTTGCGACGTGCTGCTTGCCAATTTGTATATACACTATACGGCGTAGATGTTGCAAACTTACTTGTGATTTGAAGATGTTATCTCTCCATAAGCATATTCGTTGGATGTCACCCAGACGCTAAAAAATAGTTGACCATGTTTTCCAACCAAGTTTTTGGAGCACTATTTTTTTGTCATGAGCCATGACTCATTCCCTGATTGGTTGATATGGTAAGTGTCACCGCAGTTGAGCACGCTCTCACAGCGCCTGGGGGTTGGAGGGGCGCATTTACGTTGTGGCTCACAACGTGCCTGGTAACTTGGTTCAATCAAGCCAAGAGATTTCGAAGTTGAATGCATGCAGTCAGATGAGCTGCCATCGCCACATTGAGGCATGGGTTCTGGTCGATGAGTATTGAAATCTCGCCAATTCGCGAGGATGAGGTCTGCATGTCAAGCTTGGCGAAGTGCATGTACCTGTTGGAGCTAGAGTGCAGGCTTTTCCAAGGTATAATGATGATGATGATGATCATGATGGCTCAGGCTTGCACGTTTTCTTTTGAACGTTCCTGTTGGTTTCAAGCCATGCGTCCTGCAGGAAGCATATGTTTGATTTCAACCCCTGAAAACAACCAACCGAGAGGGTGTGTTTCTCATTCAGTTTTCGAGGCAATGTCATACTGGGCAACACTAGTGCATGTCCGGGTAAGATTCAAGAAGAAGCAAATTCATACGGCTCCGGATCAAACAAGCTGGCTTTCCTCCAAACCAACGAAAATATGCATGGTCCGCATAGTTGCTGTGTGTTTAAAACTCAGCTATTACTCAAGATAGATTATGGGGAGGCGCAAGATTGATCGCTTTGCACCGTAATTTCAGCAGGATTGTGAACTGTGAGCTATGAGTTCCAACGCAGAGGAATAAGTGTAGTATGGGGCTTGGGTGTGTACCGTTCCCTTAACATGGAAGCGTTAGACATGAGTTTGCCCGTTGGTGCGGGGTTAGCCTTTCAAAGCAGTCAAAGGGTTTTTCATCAGATGATGATTTTTGACGTCCCTACTTTGGGAATTTAGATCAGCCTTTTTTCCTGATGAGATGGTCCGCTGTAACCTATGAAGCAGCCACACCACGGTTCGTGAGGATGGAGGACTGGTTCGAACAGCAACACCTGAGCCAACAGGCTGGATGAAGGGGAGCCTTCTTTTTTGTTGGTGGCATGTCTTCTTACGAGTCAACACAGTCACTTCCTCAAACATGACCGTGAGCATGTCCACTTCGAGTTTTCTTCGTTACACAGCTTTCTCCTGTGGGGCAGAAAGTTAAGCAGGTACGATGGCATAAAGGCTGTTTTCATTTGTTCATATAGGAACGTCGCCTGAAGCACTGCTTCTTGCAGATTTGCAGACTTTGACTGCCCTGGAGGTTCCGCCAGGTGTACCTGGCAGAAGCGCTCGCCAGGCAGAATGCTCCGCTGAATTGAGGTAATGTAGGCCGCGCTAGATAATTGCTTCGAAGAGAAGCTCAATCCATTGTTTTGTTGCGAGATGCTTTCATTAGCTTCAAACATATTGGTCATGACCAGTGTTGTATCAGCGGTTGCTGGCGTCAGACGCGACTCGGCAAGCCTCACAACATTCTTTACGACATGTTTCAGTCGCGTAGAGTTATGTTTGAAGTGCTTAAGGTTGCTCTCGGGCTTTCTGATGCCCAGGTTTTTCGGAATTGAATGCAAGATTCATAAGATTCAACATTAACCGTCCCGAGCTGATTAAGTTGCCTTGGCGTTGTGGCTTTTGTGGTGCTCACGGTATCGTTGACCAGCCCCTGCCGGCTTCCTGAAGGGATTGCGCACGTGTTCCATACATTGTCTGAGTTTGGACCATCTTCCATGTGAGGTGCTGCCTCCTTGACACCCATAGGGTCTCCAGCCCCGAGCAAAGAGGCAAGGCTTGGGAGCATGATTGAACGCTCCGGCTATAAAATTCTTGGGATTAAGATCAGAAGTCACGAGTCCCACGCAACAAGTTGGATGGTCGTCTTGACTGTGCGTCTGGAAAGCCCATGGCTGGTCCCAAGGCTAAAGCAGGTGCTATTGCACAGGGGATTCGCTGGAGGCTCTGGCCTAACTACTTCTTCTGCAAATGCTTGTCAGGCTGAGAAGCTGCTGTCGGACCAGGAGCTGCAAAGCCAAAGCCGTTACCAGTTCAAAGGGTCGCATGCACCGGCTAACTAGCAGAGGGCTACATGATGTTTAGTCCGGACATGATGTCTTCGCAAGTCTGTGCATTGCATATGCATGACAGTGATTTGAGAACTATATTGGGATCCCCCTTTTTAGGGAAACTATCATATGGGCCACCGTGGGGATATGTGGCACCAAGCACCTGGGTCTGAAGTTCTATACCCAAAGTCATACGCGGGTTTCTCGAAGTAGGGGCCCTGGGCGGCCTAGGGATATACACAACCCGACACCCTAAACCTCTAAAATACTCACCCTTTACCCTTTACCCTCAACCCTAAACCTGTAGCATCATAAAGCGAGCCTGCGAGCCCCTCTTCTGGAATAAGCAGAACATGATCTTGAGAAAGCCTTATCCTATCTCAAAATGATGATAGCATCCAACCCATGTCTAGCTAGGGGTTGAAGACCTCCTCCAAACTTTTCGGGCCTATGTCTGTGCTTTGTGCCCAAGCTCTGAGTTGTAAGCCAGATCACTTTGAGCATGTGCCAGCCATTTTACATGCCAGGACCGACCACATGCAAACAGCTTCAGTTTCTGCGATCCGTTCCGCGCACAGGCAGATTTGCCCACATGAGATCAGATGGTGTTGTTGTTTGCATACATTGCCCAGGATGTAGAGTGATGGTTCTTCGCATTGGAGTGTGTTTCAAGCGGGATCTGGCTTCAGCAATTGTGACTTGACGCAAGGAGAGGCCAAACTCGGCCCCTGCGGAGCGTGCGCTTGGCGCGTTCCTCAGCACCGCAGGGTGGACTCTGAGAAGCCAGCACACGGCTACTAGCATACTCGCTGTCCTTTGACGGTTTTTTACTTCACGTGGCAGGGAGAAGAGAACGCTGCTCCTGCTTGCAAGGTATGCTCTCACCGACGCCTGTTGGCGGAGCAGTGTGCCCAGGAAAGTGGACTTAGGCAGCATACCGGTGGGAGAGAAAGGATGCACATGTCTGAGACGCACCTCAACAGTTCACCATGAGTTTGGAGTCTTGTGCAGTTTCATGACCTGGCATCGAGCAATGAGGCATGCTCCGCGAATGATTCGTCCTGGGAAGAGGCAGAAGCATGTACTGCAGAAAGTGTGACAGGAGAGAGCAGCATAGCCCCAGTGTAGGCCTTCCTGATACATGATCAAGGTTCTGCCCTCCCCCTCTCTCCCCAGGATACCTGTATATCAATCCTCCTGCTCTTGTTATGTGCGGGTCAAGATGGCCTCCAATTTCCAGCCTCCAGATGAACCATTCCTGTGTCTGTTGACACTTTTGAGATGGCAGTGACATGGGATTCAGGTGCTTTCCCATCTTGCCGGTCATGTGCATTGGGTTTGGGGTAAAGTTTCCGCGTGGTTTTCGGCGGTCCCTGTCGGCTACACACACTTGCCAGGTAGCGGGAGATGGGCATTGGATTTAGGATCAAATTGGGGACCAGTAGTAAGTTCACGAGTCAAGCTCATTTTTTTGACGCAAAACATATGTAGGTTGCAGAACTTGCATGTGCATGAGTCATGTGACTCTTGGTGCTTTTGGGATCTGGTGTTCTTGTGTGGTCCCGAAAATCCGTGGCACTTGCAAGGATGCTGACCTCTGAGATTCACAGAAATTTCAGAGATCATAGTACCCAAAAAATGGTGACTGTTAGGAGGATGGCAGCTTTGGCAAGGATGGTGCCCGGACTTGCAGGATTGTTATGGCTGCAGATGCAGGATGTGATGGGGCACAGGGCCGGGGGATGCCAAAACTGCGGGGGGGTTGTCTTCCACCGTCTGTAACATTGGCAGAGGCACCCAATCAAGTCCCAAAATCTCCCACTTGCCATTTGTTTCCAGCTTTTGGAAGCACCGGCCATGCCACAGACATTTCCTGGGTTTGATGTTTTAAGATTTCAAGCCTCATTCTGCAAGGAAAGGTCTCAGGACTGATGGAGCTGCAGGTTCTCAGCAAGCATGAACTGTTAGCTTCACTTCCAGACAGACAGGTTGCCAGCGATTCCTTCACACGCAGAATGCCGACACAGGTTGGTTCACGCTGACAGTGTAGTCCAGCTTGGCATGTTTCGATTGCACGTATGAGCCCAAGCTTGCAGATATGCATCAGGCGTCCAAGCCGCCGGATCCAAAGACGCTTACAGACCAGCTGCATGTGTTTTTGTTCAGCCTTATTGGACTTTGCTTTGAGGCTGCTTAGCACGACCTTTGTGCGCACTTCCAATCTGGCTGCAAGTTTGGGCCGAGGCTTTCTCCAGAACAGCCAACCTTTCACCCACAGCCGCGAAGGCGTTGTATCATCCGAAGAATCTGCACGTACTGCATTGAATGCAATCAATCTGCAAAACTTCAGGCACCAGCCTTGGGTGACTCCCCTGTTGGAGTCGGAGGCCTCGCCAAACCTACAAAGTTCCAACCTCGAGGGGCTGTTGATGCAGCAGAAGCATTCCCTGCACTGAATTTGTGCTAGCCTTTGCAAGCATGAACACAGCTGGTAGAGTTTTTCTTCCCAAGTGTAGCACGTGCTTGAAGTTTTCGTGAGCTAATGCCGTGTGTATGTGCGGATCAAGCAGCTTTTTTTTTTTCTGGTAAGCAGTTAAGGTTGATATTTACTTTAAGTGCTAGGCTGCAGTCCCCCAGCGCGTTGCATCACCGAGTCTCTCTGTTCCGCATGTGTGGGCATCCTGCAAAAAGAAGCTTTGTAGTTAGGAGTTTGATGATGGCGAGGCCGTGTTCGCAATGACTTTAGCCGTTTCCGTATCGCTTCTGAGTGGGCAGAGCGCATCAGTGAAACTGGAGAAGCACTGCTCCGTGGATGAGCTACGGAAGGCGGCCGAGGCGAAGCTGGGAACCCACTTAGGGGTTCTCGTAGCCCAAGGAGAGTCGCGTGTGCCTTGCCTTTCTTTGAGAGCTGTTCTTGGACCTAACTCCGGCTATAGCAGTCCATTGTTTTCGTGTAGTGGTTGCACCCAGCTTGACTGATTGCACGCTGAGGTTTTGAACAGCTCGAGCACACTGCAATCGCAGGGTCTTACAAGCGGAGACGTGGTTTGTGCTTTGGCGCGAAAACCCACTGTCAACATCTTCTCAAGCCGGCAGGCTCATTGCTTCGCGGCAGTTCGCGAGGATGGCACTGTTGTGACCTGGGGCGAAGAGGAGAGCGGTGGTGACAGCAGCGATGTTCAAGACCAGCTAGTAAATGTCAGAGAGGTGCATACGTCAGTCCGAGCTTGCGCAGCTATTCGCAAAGATGGCCGTGTGGTCACCTGGGGCTGTGAAGACTCTGGAGGCGACAGCAGCGAGGTTGAGAACGAATTATGGAATGTACAGAAAATGGCAAGCACCGCTGCGGCTTTCGCTGCCTGCAGGGAAGATGGATCCGTTGTTGCCTGGGGCGATGTCGACTGGGGTGGTGATTGCTCGTGTGTCCAAGATCAGCTACACAACGTTGTACAGCTTTGTGGCTCTGGAGCAGCATTTGCTGCCATGACAGCTGAAGGCGGAGTTATCACTTGGGGTTCTGTACCTTGAGCTTTAAGCAGAGGGATTTTCACTAGTTGCTAAGCAAGGCTTATCTGTAGGCGCCAGTTTCGTTCTTTGCGCAGTTCAAGGTTGGACATGGTGGTGACAGTAGTGAAGTTGCCGACAAGCTAACAGAGGTCGTTCAGATCCAAGCGACTTCATCGGCCTTTGCTGCCATTCGGAGTGATGGCACTGTCGTTGTGTGGGGAGATCCGGATCTTGGGGCGAATGCGAGCCTTGCAGAGGGCTTGAAATTTGTACATCACATTGAAGCCACGGTTGGGGCCTTTGCTGCAATCCATGATGATGGACAAGTTACAGCATGGGGTTTCAAGGAGCTCGGAGGTGATGCGGCTCCCGTGCAGGATCAGCTCGTGGAGGTTCGGAGCATTCGCGCAAGTGGAGGTGCATTTGCAGCCACCACGGCGGATGGGACTGTTGTCGCTTGGGGTGACCCAGATGCTCGGTTGCAGTCCCCACAGCAAACGATCAAAGCTCTGTATCGCACTTTCAAGATTCTGTCGGTGGTAGACACGTTTTTGCATTGGCCAGTTCACGTCGATTTGCTCACTTTCAGTGATTTTAGAGTCAGGAGGCACAAGACCCGGCATGCCGTTTGACATGCAATCACATATTCGACCCTTGTTTTTAGGAATTTGTTATTATTCGTTTTTTCATTTTTAATATTCTGTTGGTTTTCTGGTCCTGTGGTCCTCTTGTCCCCTGGTACTCAGTTCCTTGGTCCTGTGCCTCCAGTCCCTTCGCCTCTCCGTCCTCTCATCAGGATTATGATCACGAACCCCAGAATAATTCTCACAAGTAATACTATCTTCTCTGCCGATTCATTACTAGTCTTGATATTGTTACGCCGGCAGTCACATCTTGAGCCCAGGCTGGCGTTACGTCAGCTTAACGCGAGCTTGCAACCAATGTTACGTGCTGATAGAGGTTATGCCAGTGGTCCAAGGGCAGCACCGCTCACAACAGCAGAAGGCGCAGAAATGGCACAATTTCGTTGATTATTGCAGAAACATCCTCGCGGCGCTCGGCGTCGACAGCGTCTATTACATGCACACTCAGTGGCGCGACCGTCCGCCAAGTGTCTGCAGCACATTTGGGGTCGCACACTTGGCATCGTACAAGGGCACATGCCCCGACGCTTCCGTGCCGCCGACACCCAGGAGGTTGCCGACACATCAACCTTTGATGCCATGATGACTCCGACCACGTTCTTGCAGGCCCTCGACAACGTCGACCACGTGGAGTCGCAACCACAACAGCTACCGGACCTTCGTGCCCTGTATCCAACCACTATCGGCGAGCAGGGTACAGTTGTGGAAACACTTGCTCGGCAGGCGGACAGGTACATGGAGTGGGCACGTAACTTCTTTGTGGACGCAATGTGCATCCACTTGCTTGCGAACCAGATAACCATCAGCCTGCCCTTGTTGTTGGGCCCAGAATGGGAACGTGCCCCAGACCCGTCCAAGGTTGCGCACGCCCTCTTCGTCAGCTGGGTCCACGCCGAGGCACAAGAAACTTGAAGCCCTCCCTTGCCTCCAACCACGCTCCATGGACTGCACAATCTCAACCCCGAATAACACAGTCTAGGCCGGTTTTGCTTCCGCTTGAAACTTTTTGCTTCAACGTTTGCACATCACTCCAGAACCCCTAAACCCTTGAATTTTACTATCCGTACTTTGTATTGAATGATGTACCTGCATTCCGCTGGACCCGCCTCAAATCCTTCCTCTCCCGCCAGCATCCCATGCAACTCCCTGTGCCCAACAGTTAAAATTTAACGGCTTCTGCACGCCTGACTTCCTTCAAACCCAGTCATGCAAACCCTGCCTTGGTCACCCACAAGGACCTTCGAGGCCTCATGCCGGACACCGCCCGGCAGCCCAGGAAGTCTATGTGGAGGCCCAGTGCCGGTCCGACAGACCCGCGTTTTGTCTTCTCGATGAAACCGAGACCGAGCAGTTCCACTTATACTCCGCTATGGGGCTGCAAAGACAGCGCCCAAACATCTGCACTGAATCTGCGCACTCCTTGCCCGCATAAAATGTGGGGACACCGCAGCAAAGTTTATTCGTTACGTGGATGCCACAACACCGTGCGCCTATCGCATGGAACAGATCAAGAATGATACCGACAACGACGACGCATGGGGTCTTTAAGAGAGATTTCACCTGCAAACTCGACCAATGGGACAGACATTGTCGCAGCGCTTCAATGCCAGGGCATAGATGGTGCGCGCATGGCAACGTGCGCAGCCAACTGCCCGCTTTCACTCTACAAACAACGGCCAGACAAAAACAATGTACAGCCTGGCTGCAGTCAAACGTGCCGTGCTGGTTCCGGCGCCGCGCCCAAAATTTCTGCGATCTCCACTTGTTTTCTGCGGCACATGCCAAGAATATCAACCCTTGAAACCTGCTACTACACTTGGCACCAGGCTGCGGTTCCTCGTTGTGACAGCTGCTGCAGCGAGCTGCTCGCGTTGTTAGCCTCCTCTGTTGGCAGGTCCCATGCACTTCGTTTCGGCAAGTAACCTGGGATACTTACGGGTTTCTTTTAGAGCATATAATACCTCTGATTTAGAGGGACCATATATTATACGGTTATGTGTCGCATGTAAGGTCCCCGACTTTGCAAAAAACACTTTCGGATGCTTTGAAACTTTTGATTCTATGCAAGAGAACCGTCAGAGGATGATACTTGGAGGCATGTATTTGGAAATTTCATCCTCGAGCCTTGTCAGCAGTGATGCGGCCGCCATGCTTCATGGACTAGCCACTGTGTGAACTTTTCAGGAAGGATTTCAAGTTTGGGGTTGCGGGTTTACGACGGACCCCTGACAAAGATCCTTGTTGGCGGTTCCTGCCATTTCGTGTCACATCCACTGTTCCGCACAGGGTGATTTACTTACGGGTTTCTTCTAGGGACCGCCGGCGTATAATAGACCTGCTGTAGAGGGTTCATTCTAGAGTTATGTCAAAGTTATGTGTCGAGTCTTAGACCCCCTGCATTACGGAAACGCTTGCGAGTACTCTTGCAGCTGCTTGTATGCAACAGAAACGTCAGCAATGATGTGGCCACCATGCTTCATGGAGTAGCCGCTGTGCATTTGTCAGCATGGGTTTCGAAATATCGTGGAGGGATTAGAGTTAGACCTCTAACGAAAATTCATGTTGGAGTCCCTGCCATTTCGTGTCTCAGCAACCGATCTGCGCAAGCAGTTATATTTTAACTGCTCGCCGCCCTAACACAACTAACGCAAGCACCCCCAGCAATCTTCACAGGAATGCGCGCAACTCGACGCTGCCAGGTGCAAACAACGACGACGCGCTTGCGCACTGCCTCGCGCACTGCTGCACCTCGTGTTCCAATATCTGGCAGCCTTCAACCCCGTGCGCCCTGCATTCCAAAACATCGTAACACAACATTTGTACATCAACTGCGTTTCAATTTGTGATACTCAAGAGCACTGCAGTTGTCATCTTTTCCGGGAAAGACAGGCAAGCGATACCTAAGGTCTACATGCCCCGTGTAACTCGGCAACATCTGTAAACCCTGGTAGTTTCCTGCATTCCTGCGTTCATAACACACTTACATGCGCTTTCTCCCTAACTATGATGGCAACATAACAAACATTACTTGAACAGCCCCGTTCGTAGTTGTAATGATAGGTCCTTTGGGTGAGCTCACCATGAAAACACAGAACAGCATAATGCTTGGGAACACCTCCTTTGCACAACTTATGCCGGGGCTTCCCAAGACCCTTAAAATATAATACTCACACATTTTCTACAGAAATCTACTACAAAGTCCTTGTAAACAACAGTGCAGGCACACTGCTTCGAAGATTTACAGTCACATAAACGGTGCCCCGATGCAACCAAGTGCCGGGCTATCGAAAGACACCAAGGCGTTTGATGCCAGCAGTCTCCTACCATTTACATAAACCTACAGCGCAAACCAGCAACCCAGGTATACCTCTAGGGACCCGACCTGCCCCCCATACATCTACTCTCTCCCAGGCGTTGGTGACTGGTCGTGCCGCGCATGGCCACCGGCTTCAGGCTTTATGATGCAGAGTTTGAGTCTAGGTTTTGGGAAATGCCGCGCAGTTCACTCGGTTGGGGTTGAGAGGTGCCCAAGACCTACGCCAACAAACAGGTACGGACCCCCTACGCACTGAGCCCAACCCTTGCTGTGCCGACTGGTTTCTGATTCTCGGACATCACGATAATGTAAAATCATGCGGGCGCTGCCGCGTCCACGGTTCCCAGAGCGCCTTCTCCTTGCATGTTAGACAAGTACGTACAGCCTCATGACAGACAGCTGTGGCCGTCACCCGGCGCCAGATAAAACCCCGCTTTTCCTTACGCCAACGGCCTGAATGGGCAAGCTGTTGCAGTTGGACATCATTCCCTGGCCCCTGAACCCTTAAATTTTATTATCCTTACATTGTCTTCGATCATGTACCTGCGTTCCGCTAGACCCGCCTCGAGTTCCTTTGAACCCTCCAACATCGTGCGGTGAACCATGCAAGTGCCTCTGCCACATAAGATTTCTTCCCATAATACTCCCCTGTCGCAGTAGACTCCTAGCGCCCTAGACCTTGTACAGAAGTCCTCGACCGTACAGGATTTAAGCACATGTCAGGCTATCAACAGAATCCCTGCATCCGCACTGTCCCCATGAAACCCCTACGCACAACACCTTATCCGAAACACGCCCCAATACATTTGCATACCAGCGAGGGGGAACGCTTGCTGTCACTGCTGCCTCTGCGGCTGCCGCGGCTTTACCGTTGCCTGCTTGGAGGCCGCCTGTGCACTTTCTCGATACATGTCTACGGACCTTGCTGCTTTCAGCCGTTGCGTTACACAGCCAAGCAAATGACCGTGCCCATGCAGTATCTGGCCTCTGGCCAGCGCGCAGGCTGTCACCTGGCCCGCATGGGCACGGCCTGCGCCGCCGGCCACGCCGTGGATTGCGCGCCAAAACCAGAAAAACTCCTGCGCCTCCTAGTCTAGCTTTCGTTCCCCTCGGCTTGCCCCTCAAGTGTGTTTGTGCTCAAACGCAACGGCAAGCATGCTTCATCCTGAAGCATCTTGGCTCACAGGTGGAGCATTGCGCTTAGCACTTTTTTGGATTTCGTGGATTTTCTTGGCGCATATGCACATGTCATACATACATGTCTGTTTGCATGTCTGTCTGTTGTCTAGAGTGCTTGCACTGCCTTGCTCCGCCTGTAGCAGCCATGGATGCGCCCTCATCTCCTACCAGGTGGGGGATTTCTGTTCTTGCAGTGGCGGTTCCTACTTTTGGACTCCGTCCGCAGGCTGGTGAGCTCGGACCCTCCTCGTGAAGGCTGGGTCTGCTGCTCCCTCCTGCAAATTTCTGTCCGTTCCTCTGTGCAGGTACAGAGGCTGACGCGACTTTGACT